TATAATTATATACGGTCTTTTCTGTTTCTCTGCGCCTGCTTGCAGTCACACAACAAATAGCCACAGCCAGTATCACAAAAGGGGTGCAATTTTTCTTGGCCGAGAAGCAACAGAGGCTGAGAAGAGGGCGTGGGAGAGAGGAGGCGAGACAGAGAGAGAGAGATGGTGAAGGTCGTTCGCAGAGCAGCGGCAGGGGTAGCGAGCTCTCTACTCTCAGACAATGCGCCCTAATTGTTATTCCGTTTCCTTTTCTGGTTCGTTTCATTTCCGTTTTCGTTACTCATCTAGGAAAAAAGAACAGCGATGCGCCTTGGTATTAAGGGTGGCTCTGCCGGGGGACACGGGGGTTTCTCTCCGAGGGGTTTTTTAGGTTAGGTTCACATGACGATTGCTAGCGATGGGCTTCGACACGCTTCGGAGTCGCTAGATGTCTAGCGCGTATCGATAGAACTTTTCTGAACAGTTCTCGACGGTGGTGTTTAACACGTCTTTATCACGTTTCGGAATAAGAGTTTTGCATGGTTCTTCGTTTCTTTTTCTTTTTTTCTCGTCAGGAGATATCGTGGACAATTACTAATTTTCAGTTACATATTCTCTGCCGTTGTATTATCATGTTGGTTTTCGTTAGGAACTTAAGAAGAGAATAGAGGGAGATACTTACAAAAGCGATTAGCGAGACTTACTGAAAGAATTCTTAATTAGTTTTCGGTAGGTACACTAGATTCATCGTAGCAAACATAAATCTCTTAATTAGTTGGGAATTCACTTGCAAGAGAAAAAAATAGTTGAAATATTACCTATCCGTTAATCACTTCTTTTGCTATATCTGAAAAGAAAGCGCTAGTTATAGTAATTGTACAATGTTAGAGGAGCTGGTACACTTACGATACACAATATCAACTTACTCTATAAGTAGTCAAAACGATCTCTCCTTCTCACTTCTACTGGTACTACAAACTACGTCCTTCCTTATCTACGTATTTTTTTTTTTTTTTTTTTTTTTGCCAAATTCATCGAAAAACCGTGGAACGACAAAAAAAAAATTCCACAACTATAGTAAACCAGTTTCATACCGGCGTCGATGTAAATTCGCTAATCGAACAACAAAATTAGGCAATTACACGTGTAACGTTCGACAGCACGTCGTTTAATTCGCGCAAAACAAGACAATCGTGTTAACCTAACAAAACCCAAGGATTCCAAAGAGTCTGACAGGGTTCGCCAAAAAGAGATCCTTCGAAACCCCGTTCAGAGATACATTTCCTTTTTCTTTTCTTTCACCGTTTCCCCCGGGAATCCCCAACGTCCACAACATCCAAAGCAATTCGAGCAATAAATATCGCAGAGGGAGAGTAGCCTCGCGCGAGAAACCGTGGGCAGAGAGTCGACCGCCCATCGCTAACAGCGGGCACAGTGTGCGATTTGCAACAAAGCGACAGAGAAGGGACGCCCAATCAACGTGCGCTCGTTTCCAAAGGATCGTGCACACCGTCTAGCGATCAAAAAAGCGTTTCAAGAGACAGTGCGTGGATAGTGGGCTTTGGTATACAGAGTGCGGCCGTCTGTTCTTCCGGCTCGTCGGATCAACCGTTCCATGGAACTAGAAGAAAGGATCTCGTCGGGGAGAATTGAGAAAGAGTCCTAAAAGGAGTGGGGGGTTGGTTTGACGGTTAAAGGGACATTGCGATGAAAGGGTGTATCAGGCTGATCGGGGACATAGAGAAAGAGAGACAGATAGAAGAAGTCTATCCATGTACAACTATATAAGGTGGAAAGAAAAAAAGATAAGATCTCGGTTTGGGAAACGGAGAAATGGAAAGTTGGAGAAATATAAAATACAGCAAATCAGGCGGATATAACGAGAAAAATAGAGATTGACAGACAGAGAGAAAGAGAAAGAGATAGAGAATTCAGATAGACAGACAGAAAGATAGAAAGAGAGAGAAAGAGAGAGGAGGGATCCACGAGTAGACGATTGCATCTCTACGTGGAGACGTCTGCTTCATCGCGATAGTCGAGTATACATATTCGTTTTATATCATTCTTTTGTAATTTCTTTTTTTTTTGGCTTTCACGCACGGGGACGAGTAGCTCCGCTAACTTCGACAACGAGATGACGGATCGTCTCGAAACCGAGTCAGAGAGAATCAGCTCCGGCTTCCTCGAGAGCAGGGCGTTTA